TGGGGCACACAAGGTAGTGGTGCATGTCATCTAAGTCAGTCGGGGATGTCGGTGAACTAGGGCACCCAAGGATGCAGCCTCGAGGGGAGGCGTGAAAACGAGCACTAGTGCAAACACATCTGGAGAGCATACGAAGGTTGGCCAACGGGATGTAAGGACTGGACCGACGGGCCAGGGCTTTGATGACTTTGCAAATCCAGACGATGTCCGATGGGGAGACCTCAGGGATCCAGGCACGGGCACGTCGAAGGAGAGCTCCATGAGGGGTGACTGTGGGACAGTGGAAGGGCCTCAGCGCACGCATATATTGCTTCTGTACATCTTTACGCTCATACAAGATCTGGAAGCCGTGGGATGCAACTTCGTCCTGGAAAGAGAACAGGTGGGTGAGGAAACTATTCGCGTACCAGCCGCGCAGCTGCCGATATGGACACCAGTCATCATCTTCAAAAATCCGAGCGACTTGGTCACGAATCCGAGGCAGCTCATCACAACGTGCAATGTATCTCGCCCGAGTAGCATCTGCCACAAGCGAGAGTCGAGGGAACTCAATAGGAAACCCATAAACACAAAGGTGGGTACACATGTCGTACGAAAGCGCATTGTTAGGGCCGGCGGAGAGGAGGCGGACACAGGATTGATAAGCTTTATCAAGAACACGAGTGGGACGGTGCAGCTGCAAGAAGAACGACAATAATGAAACACAGAACGCTTTGAATAGAACAATGGATTGAGCCAGACCAAGCCCTAGATCACGAATCTCACGCGTCCGCTTTTTGAGTTTAATAATAGATGCCGTGAAAGCGACGTCCTCCGCCCCAAGACCAATCCAGACCCCAAGGTACTTAAGACACTTAGTAATTTCAACCACCTGATAGCGGGGTCCCAGGTCAACCAGGAAATCACGAAGAGGGTCCCTGAGACGCTCGTTAGCCAGTAGAATCTGGCACTTCGGGAAATTGAGAGCCAGACCTATCGCACGATGAAGCAGCTGCAAACACATGAACAACGGCTCGATGCCATCGAAGATACAGCGTAAGCCGAAACAAAAATCGTCGGCGTACGCGAGAGACAAAGTCAGCTGCCTTGGAAGCTTAGCCCTCACCCATGCTAGTACAGGTTCAACGGCCAGGATAAATAGAAGCATCGAGCTCGGGTCACCTTGCCTAACTCCTCTCCCAATCGCGAAGGAACCAAACATCCTCCCAAAGATATAGATAATCGCCGAATTATCTTGATAAAGAGCCTGGAAGAACAATATGACAGCAGTCGGGACCCCCATGGAGGCCAGCACGCGGAGGACCCAGGAGACCTTGATCGAGGGGAAGGCGGATTCGAAGTCCGTCAGGACGAGCCCACTCGTATATCTATCACGAAGGTGGCATTCAAGAAAGGAAACTCTCAGCCTCCATCACGTTCGCGAGCATGTCGCGGCCTCGAAAACATTTCCGTGGAGGCTGGAGAAGACAGTGCCGCGCAACCTTGCGCGTGAGGATCATAGCCATCGAGGCCGAGAAAATCTTGGCATCCGTATTTGTCATGCTTAGAGGACGAGTATTAGCTGGTTCACGATAGACTCCCTCCCCCACCTCCGCCTCCGCAATCTTTTTGGGTAAGAAAACCATGAGACTTCGTTTCATATCATCGGGAAGACCAGCCCGAGGGTTACGTATGAAGGCTTGGTAGCATTCATAGAGAAGTTCACCAGCGGCGCGAGCCCTCCAGGCCGAGTACGGGATCCCATCCTCCCCAGGCATGCTGTCTTTCCTCCCCCGAATCAACATTTGCCACTCAAACTCACTCATCATCCACCCTTGTCCGAATAAGTCCTCTTCCTCAATACCCTCAGGAACCTCTGGCAACTTCGGCACAAAGCTAAGCAGCTCGGGCCAGAGGGACTCGTCGTCCTCAGTAGCAGCAAAGATAGTACTCCAGTGATCCTGTAGGGCCTTGGCAGCCTCTTCTTCTGTCTTGCTGATGCCCCCTGAAGCCGATAAGGTCCCTTGGAGCCACGTACGCCTATTCATCTTCCGCAAGAGTTCCTTCCGAGCCGCCAACTGCCGCCGAGCATTTTCATCCCCCTCGGAGGGCACGGGTCCGACGTCCTCGGCCAAGGGCTGATTGAGCAGTTCCTCCTCAGAAGACAGAAGAGTATTATGAAGACTTTGAACGCGTTGGCAGAGGGCGTCGCATCTGGCATCCTGAAGGCCAGCAGGAAAGTGAGCAGCGAGCGCAGGGTACGCGGCAACCGCCGCCGCTAGCTTGAAAGAGCTCCCCGCACGCCATGCACGAAGGGCTTGCAGGGCACGAAAATGTTCGGCTTCGGTAGTGTCAGCAGGTTTCAGGTTGACCAGACGTTTAACCTCCTCAGCAACTTCAAACACCAAAGATTTCGTTTCGGCCAGACGAGCCCACGGGTCACCACAGGGAAGGGCATCAATAGCGCCGTTCAAAAGCTCTGCAAATAAAGGGTGCCGAACAACCCAGGGAGCCAGACGTT